TTTAATCCTTTTGGAAATACATTTCATTTAAGACATAATATCTGTCTAATCTCTGTTTTAACAATTCCAATCATATTTGAAAATCTTTAAAAGTCTAGATATTCAACTATTGTTTCTTAATCTAAATTAACTTTTTTTCTAGAACAAAGTGTATAAAAACTTTTCTTAAATTCATAAGTCATTTTAATGAATGAATTTACAAGTCGATGTAAGCTAAATCATCATGGAAAACGTGGAATCATTGGACGACCGTTTTGTCCCAGTATAAGACTCCTCAGTCGTGTGCGTTCACGATCATGCATACGAGATTCAAATCTACAACTTTCGGTCTCGCGAACGACTAACCTTTAAATCACTTAGCTGGCATCCAACAGTGTTAATGTCTAACTTTCATGTGTTTACTACTGACCAGCTCTGACATGATTTCACTGAGTTCTAATGAGAAGCCGTGATCCTATTCTCTTAAATAGTTATCTAGATAATGAATTGATATTAAGTGATTTAAACTTACAAAAAAAGGATATCTGTAGTCCTAATTTGTAAGTTATATGTATAGTCTAAACTTCCTTCAATGAAATGTCTTGTTCATTGAAAATCAGTTAAGATAAATTCCATAAATATTTTATAAACTTGACCAATGTTATTTTTTCTTAAGTTTCCTTACAATCCTATGTAATAGCTCATCTCGTGTACTTATTAGCTATCTCTAGACGATGTATAAGTATTGAATTGAAAATCTTTTTTTCTATAAACCTGTCTTAAATGTTTTCTTTCTACTTGAATAAATCCTCTTATAATCATCATTATTTAGAGGTGACTGATGATATACTTTAAGGATATGATTTTTTGGTATTTGATATCATATTAAATCGGTATGTTTGGATTGATGCCTCAGATAGTAATTACACTATATACACAATTTGTTATGTAAATCAATATTGTCTTAGAAAATGAAGAAAAAACATTTAAAATTTTTGTAGTTTAAATAACAAATTGATTGTTATCTAAATTACCTAAAAGCATCTCAGTCCTACAGGAGGTTAGTCACGGCTCAGATTGCTCAGTGGTAACGTCTCCGACTATGAAGCTGGGTGAAACGAGATCGAATCCGCCAGGGAGCACCAGTTCCCTCAATATTACAGGTACACCTTGCTGACGAGTGCCAAGTAGCACGAAACCCGGGTCCAGGGTTTCCTGTTGACTACCTCCAACTACCATCTAAATCTCATTACCTAAAAGCATTGGATAGACATTCTACACTAGTATGAGACTTCACACCAGTGTACATTCATTACTCTACATCCGGGGATTGAATCATAACTCGAATTTTGAACATCCTATAATCTACACAAATCCCTCTATGCTAATAATGAGTATTTTCTCACTAGCGATCTATTCAAGATACGATTCCTAGAGTTCTAATGAGAACTTGTGACCAGTGAAGTTCAGTTATTGTCGGATGTGAAAGAGTTATTTACCACAGACTTTGGATGATTATAAATTATAATGATTAAATAAAGTTAGACATACACAAGAGTAGATGTGAATTCAATGGTTTCAGTTAAGCAAATAACCGCAGGTTTCGAAGATCTTGTGTTTGATTCCCTATGACACTGTTGTGAATACACATAGGTGAAAAGTTCCATACAAAAACGAAATGGGTATCCAGAGCTTCTTCATTTCTAGCAATGATCTAACTAAAATTGTTCAGTAATATAAACTATACAAATTTAACAATCATTACAAAACCCCTGTCCTAATAACTTTGTATTTATTATCAACGTTGTATATATATATATATATATATATATATATATATATATATATATATATATATATATATATATATAGGACGAAACGGCCATCCAGTGCTTCCAGGTTTTCCATGGTGGTCTGGCTTCGATTGACCCATGATCTCAACTATTAAAATTACTATAATCTTCACAAAAACTCTTCTGATACCAATCAACATATGCTCACTAGTAACTGGCTTTAAGAGGTATTTCCCGGAGTTCTAGTGAGAAGCAGTGACCAATGGAGCTTAACCAAGTTTGTTGTGAGATAGTAACTCACTGATGACAATGGTGGATGTGTCGCTGAATTTCGTAGATTGGTTGAGATTAGACATTAACACCGTTGGATGCAAGCCGGCTCAGTGGTCTAGAGGTTAAGCTCTCGTGCGCGAGACTGATAGATCCTAGTTTCGAATCTCGAGAGGCAGTATCGTGCCTGAGCACTGTTGTGGAGTCCCATGCTAGGACGAGACGACCGTCCAGTGCCTCCAGGTTTTCTATGGTGGTCTAGCTTCAATTGAATCATCAATTCAACTATTAAATTACTATAATATTTGATTAAAGTAGATAAACTATGCAGATTGTAAGATGAAGATTTAATGATCACAATTTATGGATCTATTACACAAAGTTATATAATAAAAATGATTTAATTGTATACTATTCAATTTCACACAAGTAGACAAATATTCTTGATTTCTTATCTACTCAATTTTTTTGGGGTTTTCAATAGTAGTCTAATTACAATTAGTTCATAATTTAAACTATGGACAATTTTACGGTCTATACAAATTCATTTATATGAATAAAAGAAACCAGTTACATTTTCAACTTTCTGTTTTTGTTGTGATAACGAACAGAGAGAGAGAGAGAGAGAGAGAGCGAAAACAACACATTTTGTTTTGATAATCACTGACTAATTTCCCGCCATCTTCACTTTCCCCATACCTAGTTGTTATGCCTTTGACCAGTTAACAAAATACACAGATATTTAGTTCAGACATTTCTGTGTACGTGTGTGTGTGTGTGTTAAATTAAGTACTTCACATACATATTTTACTGATTAATTAGGTCAGTAGACAGAGTAGTTTATTTACTTAGTTCAATTTATTGTTTTTAAATTAAAATTATAGTAGTATTAATAATTTGTTTTAGTAAACATTATGAAAGTGACTTTTTAAAAGAGTTAAATGCAACAGATATGCCTTACTAATACATACTAGATAATATGAAACCGATGTCAAGTAAGAGTTCCTATAGACTACCTCTAACCAACATCTTAAACTGTTTATTTTTATATTGGGATTGGATATAATCAGGTAGATTGTTCAATCTGTATTATGATGGTTTAAATCATGGACTAACTTAAAGTAAACAAACATTGAAATACAACTGTCTAATGCTTTATATTATCACGTCCATTGTATTTTGATGTCAGGTGGTTGAAGGTAGTCAGTTGATATGAAAAACTACCTGATCTAGATATCGTGCTGGTTACCACTCACCAACAAGGTATACTTGTGTTCCGCATGAGATTTGAACTGGTTTGACTTAGTTTCATAGTGTGATGTGTTATCACTTAACAGTGATGAGCAGGGATATCTGTGCATGCGATTTTGAGTCATTTAGATTAATGGACACAACAATTAATCATTTGAATTCGATCAGCACTTCAAGATTGAATGAGTAGTCTACTGATCACTACTCAATGCCAGATAGCACGAAACTTAGGTCTTAGGTTTCCTTTCAATCATCTTTAATCCACTCTACATAATATGGGGAATAGGAATACATCATATTTGATATGATTTATTTACAGTTAGATTAGATATATATAAAGCGAAATGATTTGTATTTAATCTTACTGTATGAACATATATCTACCATATCATACAATAATGAGTCTGTAACTATCTGACTAAGCCACATAATAACTCTAAAAAAATGATTGCATGTCACAAGCGAGTGGGAAAAATTTACTTCATATGCCATTCGCCCCTCATCATATCAGTTAAATTTTCATTAACAGTTTAAAAATATGCAGAATGATATTTGTTTTTGCAAAACGAGATCAGTTAATAAGCAAATAAAGTCCAGGACTCGTTATATCTACTAGTGGAGTTCAAACACATCCAGTGTGTGGCAATTACCTACTTACAGCATTGAAAGATGATTAGTCCCCCAATAAAAAAAGTCAGAAGTGTAAACCATTGGATACCAACTAAGTGATTTGAAGGTTTTTTTGATTCGAGCTATGATGGATTTGTAGATGCATACTACTCCTGAGAAATCCTATATTAGGACAAAACAACTACTTTGTGTTTATTGACTTCCAATATTTGTCTAAGATCATTTAGCGATGGAAGCTATGAAACTGGCTAACCCCCGTAAACCCCCTATTGTAGGTTATATGACCGTATTTTGCTTCAAGGAAAGATCTCGGGGTGCTAAAAAAATCATGAAACTACTCAACTTTCGTTATTCAAAATAAAGTCTTCATAATATTGGTAACTGTGCGTGTTTCCTTTCTTAATTTAATTTTTCTCACGAACTTTGACTTTTTAGCACTAATTTTAAGTGGCTAATTTTCTGTATCCTTCGAGGTAAGGCTTTTGTCACTATATCATACTGTATTGTACAATTTCAAGTATTTATGCTTGAATATTAAATATTCTTTACACTTAATTTTCTTCCTGTGTTAGAGGTGAATTGTTCAAATACTGAATGTCAGTTTCCGTCTTTGGGTCTATAATAGAACCGTTTATATAAGAATAACTCGATCGTTCTGTTATTGTCAAGTATCAGTGACTAACTGGAACTCCAATTAGACATAATAGTTTTTCCTAAGATTTAACAAATGATACTGTAATCATTAAGGTGTGTATTGATGGAGAGTTTCGTAGTAAGACTAAACAAATTACCAATGTATCCTGGTCTATTCATCTCCACAAACCTCTTTCACTGTGATTTTGATGATTATTAATAATGAATTTCACAAAGTCATATGTTTCGTCTTAATTTGAACTCATGATCAACCGAATAAATCTAAGGGGACATTCAAATGACCAATAGGAAATAAGCCAAAATGTACATTAAATAGTCTTGGTGAATTATTGTTTTTTTTTGGAAAAAAGTAAATGATTCCAACGAATCATTCTGGTATATTCACTCATTTGTTTTCTTTTCTTTTTTTATTCAAAATTTTAGGCTCCTTTACCAAATACATTTGATAGTTTTTGGACAATGATATGGGAACAAAATACAAGTGTTATTGTAATGCTTAGTAAACTTATTGAAATAGAACAAGTGAAATGTGATCAATATTGGCCAAATACTGGAACATTAATATTTTCTGATAAATTAATTGTAACACATTTAGAAACTAATGAATTAGCTAATTATGTAATACGTTGTTTTGAACTGAGAAAAGATAAGTAAGTATTATTATTATTGTTATGGTTTTAGGCCACTTTTACACACTTAAACTATTGGAATCAAGAATGATAATTTTTTTAATAAAATAGACTAGATAGTAGTTATCAGAAGAATCCAAGCAACATATTTAATCATGTTTAGCATTGGTCAGTCAGATGTAGTTATCATACCCTAGTGTTGATGCTCACATTCGGATTCGAATTGAGTAAGTTTTGATTCAAACACCTAATGCATTATTAACTGAGTTACTGAATTCAGATAATTGTTAACTTGTTAATGTATGAAGTTTACATGACCATGTTAAGTCTTTTTGATTGAACGCTATATTCGTTTCCTAAGCTATTCTGGTAACCCGCAAGCTAGAACTACACAGTGACCTGAAACACCAGAGAGAAGACGCAAAATATGAGAGAAATACTTTACTCCAAGGTTCGTTTTTGTACAGAAAACATGGGTATTTATGGATGTTAACGTTTGTTAAATCAGCATTATATTTCGGCTAATCCGGTAACGACATATTATGCTACTGACCAATAGTAGCACGCCACGTTGGAATTCTAGAATGCTCCATCATGCTCTGATCGGCTAGGACTCTTCGGCTCCTTTTGGGCCTCTGGAGGCTCCGTTGAAGTTATCCGAAAGCTGACTCACCAGAACATCAGTGAAAATTTGATTTATTCCATTATTAATATTTAGTATAGAATTTGAATCAATCTTTTGTGGTATATACATATCCGGTATAAATATCCTCGATATCTTCATTTCGTTATGATTTTATTTTGATGCAACTAACAGCAAATAGTAATCAGGATTAATTATCATACAAACATTGTATCCTTTGAATAAGTTATTGATTATTGGGACTTAGTAACTCAGTGCATAATATATTGAGACTTGAAGTGAAAGATGTTCATTTCAAATTATTATTCAACTATCAACCATATATACCACATTTATATTCCTAAAATATGATTTATAGTTTAATAAATCATTTCAAATATATAAGTCAACAGATAAACAACAAAAAAATTTTTTTTGTTCATTTTTTGTTGACCTTTGAAATATTGCCAAAAAACAACAAGCGATCTGTAGAAAAAAAAATAGTTAACATACCACAAATAATCGTTGGCACCCAACCACCCACCCACCCAACTACACACCCACATACACTTAAACAAACAAACAAACAACAACTACAAATATTTTTGTCATCTAAATTGTTTACAATATGCACTTTTTTAGTATTTTATTTTATGGTATAAAGTGTTTTTTCTAAAAAAAAAACAAACCAGAATGGCATACCAGACAATAAGACGCTACGTAAGTAACCTCCATTACAACGTATTAATGATTATGATTGACAACAGTTTAATGGTTCGAAGGTATAATTATTTTCAGAAGGGGTTTGTGGAGATTTTAGAAATTTCACAGATTGAAATCATGAGTTAATTGAAGCTAGACCTCCATGGAAAACCTGGAAACACCGGGGGGCTGTTTTGCCCTAGTATAGGGCTTTTCAGCAGTGAGCACCTACGATCCCGCCCCCCGCGAGATTCGAACCCAGGACCTATCAGTCTCGTGCCAGACTCCAGGAGTATCTCTTGAAGTCAGTCACTAGTGAGCAGATGACTATTATCAGAAGTGGTTTTTGGAGATTTTAGAAATTTCACAGATTGAAATCATTAGTCAATTGAAGCTAGACCACCATGTGTTCGAATCTCGCGGGGTGCGGGATCGTGGATGCGCACTGCTGAGGAGTCCCATACTAGGACGAGACGGCCGTTCAGTGCTTCCAGGTTTTCCATGGTGGTCTAGCTTCAGTTGACTCATGATTTCATTCTGTATAATTATTTATTTTAAAAAACGACATGAATACATTAGTATTGTAAAAGAAGCATTTCATTTATTTAAAATGCTCAGTGATTCGGGTAAAAAGAAAGACTTATGCTTTCGTAGTGAACAAGAACATAGGTGTGGGCAACCAAATGTATTTGAATACAAATCATTACAGAATCTCTTAGAACAATCTGAGAATCATACAATAAATACTTCATTTGAAAAATACCAATCAATTGTCTTAGACTTGATTGTTCCTTGTTTTCATAACAATTATTCTCTGTTCTCATTCTCTTTACTTCGATCTTCTTAATTTTCTACCGCTAGATGTTTCATTTTCTATTGATGATACATATTACTTATATCTGTTGACATCAGTAGCATACACCATACTTTGCTGACAAACTAATCAGATTCAAGATAGCAGATTTTGGATTATTGCTAAAGCGTTTGTATATTCTCGTTGATATTAAGCACTACTAATTGATTAATCCAATCTTCAAACATTTACTTCCTAAGTGAATAGCTTTGATATTGCCAGATATTCTAAAGTATTAAACCCAATTGTACAATTCAGTAACTAGCTCAAGGGATAACGCACTGCCTATTTATTTTACAAGTCGCCAATAGTTGCTAAATAAAATATACTTTCACCTTATCATTGATAATTTGGTGTATTTATATTATTCAAGGTTCAAGAATAGAAGGAATGGATGTGAAGATAAACATATTGGCCTGATATCAATATACATATAGTTACCTGTTTGACTATTTGTTAGCAGAGATTAATTCATTTTGGTTATAGACTATCTTATAAACAAAACTATCCATCTGAGAATAGTAATATACTGCTCAAATTATACAATAAGTAATCAGTTCCAAATAAATACTTTTCCCTTGGTATCTTCCCATTGAGGTTTAAGACTGCAATTGATCAGTCTGTTATCGGCATATGTGCATGCTGTGCGTTGCCTCGAGATGCAGGTACATGCAGCTAACGAGTCCCAAATAGGAGGAAACGCGCGTCCTGGATTCCACTGCTAGCCACTATCCATCATTGCTTACAAAAATAATTTTCCTTTCTAACTTATGTTGAAATTCCTGTATTTTTATTGGTAAATAAAGACAGAATTTTTGTCGTCAAGCCTAAATATCTTGTGTTCCATCGCAAATGACCTTGTTAATGTACATTGTTAAAAAGTCTCGTAATAGAATAAAACAGTTATCCAGTGACTTCTGGTTTTCTTAATGATTCATTCACAAAAGTTAATCTATGATGAAACCTTATATAAAATGTATCTACAAAAAATCATTACAATGTAAGACATTTATATAATAGATGAAAGAAATCTATAAATTAATCTGAATGTGCAATGTTGAATGTCTGGAGGTAGTCAATAGAAAACCACTTGTTAGTTGTCATTGGTCAACCGATTGTACCTGTAAACTTGAGAGAACTAATGTTCCCTGTAAACCTGTGTCACCTAACATCACGGTTTAAAACGATAATTCAGGGCACTACTGACCTCATGTAAAACTGTGATATCTTTTTACAATTGATTGGTCATTATGTACAGACTTATGTTGTGTTTGTCTAGTCCTGATAATGAAGATTGAATCCTATCGATTAGCTCATAGTTTGGCTACTAGTCTGGGTGACTCGATATCACTTGCACTATGTTTAAATGTTTGTTTGTGGAAGTTAACACGATACTCTAATGGATCTGGGATTCTTACTAGTTGGCACTCATCAATAATCTTGAAAGAATTGACGCTCCTTACGTGATTTGAACCTATTTAGATAGAAAATGTGATCAGCGGTAAAGAATTAGACGAATATGACTTTAGTCACTGCTGAGTGAACTATTAGCGATCAGACATTATTTTCACGATTATTACTTTATAAAAGTAGTATACCGTGTTTACAGAAAAAAGTATAAGTTTCTAGTTTTTTAGTCGTATTACTAACTGAATTTCAACCAGAAATTGTAATGTTTCCTTATAAAATTGACTGTTCTAATGTAACAGACTTGTATTTTTGCCTTAAGAGAAATTTTAGTTGTATGGTTACGATTTCTAATAATCAAGATCGCTCCTCCCTCTTTACTGGTCATACAACATTAAAATAATGTTTTCATTGTTGTAAGATACAATTAGGAAATTCGTCTATTGGTGTCTCGTGAACTATATTATACATTAGGAGGGCTATAGTCACTAAGCTGAAGATCTACTACTAAATGATTAAATAATTGCAAATATATCTGTCTAACAGAATGACAGTGGTAACGTTTTGAATTTTGAAACGGCGTGATATGGATTAGAATTTCACAAGCAGGATCATTTTCTTCAAGATTACAGGTAAGTCTCTATTACGCGTATTAAATTATCAATAAGCCTAGATCATCCAGGGCTCTTTTGCCAAATACATTCAACCACTCAATACGTTAAACTTCATTTAATCTGATCAGTGTTAATTTAATGTAAGTTTCGATTGTGAAATTACGCATTTTTATACTCCATGCAGTACATACTGATTAGTTACATCGAATCAGACAGGTTCTTGTTAAAGTTCACTTCTAAATGACTGTATGAAATCACAGTTGATTGATCACTGGGTGGTGACCAATGTCATGCATGTCAAGTCCTTATTTAGTGCAGACCGAATGCTATCGACTATGTTGCAATGTGGCCACCAGTCTAGGTGACTCGGGATGGGTGACACGGGATCGAATCCGTCAGGGGGCACGAATTCCCTCAAGATTACAGGTACGTCTTGCTGACGAATGCCAAGTAGCACGAAACCCGGGTCCAGGGTTTCCTGTCGACTACCTCCAACCACCATCTAATCTCGACTGTATGAAAATTAATTAAACATACTAATTGATTATTAATTTACAAATGAATTTCAGTGTAGGGTTGTGGAGATTGTTGAATATCAGTGAAACAATGGACAGATCAATGATAAATTTTAATCAGATTTGTAATTTCACTAAAAACCGATATGTACTTTAATGTTTGTATTTTCTTTAGTTGTATACATCAATCTATTTACTATTATATACAGTATTAGTTAAAGTTAATAAACATAATAAAATCCGTTTTCTTAACCGTTTCTTTTTATTTCATTTGACTACTGTGTTTACTAGAGAACATAGAAAAATTTGGCATTTGCAATACACAAGTTGGCCAGATCAAGAAGTACCAACTTATTCTACTGTATTCTTAATGTTTCTTCGACGTGTTGGTACAATTACACCGAACGATTGTGGTCCAATTGTTGTACATTGTTCATCAGGAACCGGAAGGACAGGTAAGAAAAGTACTGATTGGCACAATACTACTGATATACTAAAAACGATAATAATAGTAATAAAGATTATAATCTATTAAAAAAATTTAGAACTGAATATTTTGGCGAGAGGCTAATGTATAGACAAACAGTGATTGATACTAAAGTGATGACTGATAAATTTCAACCACATAATACCGCCGAAATGGTTATAAAGTAATGTGAGGAATTGGGAAGAAAAGTTGGAGGTAGTACTTCCAATTGTCTTTAATTTAAATATGACTAATTGGTTCATAAATTATAATTCCCGCCAACTTTTCAAACTGAATTAATTTCAAAGGTTGAGATCATGAGTCAATAGAAGCTAGACAACCATTGAAAACTTGAAAGCACTGGACGGCTGTCTCGTCCTACTGTGGGACGCCTCACTAATGCGCATCCACGACCCTGCGTCGTGGGATTCCATATCATTATCGCACGCAAACACTTGACCTCTAGACCACTAAGCCGGCCGGTATCTAATTGTATTAATGTCTAACTTCAACTAATTCACGAAATTGAGCGACACAAATTTCCTGGAGTTCTAGTGAGGAGCAATGACCAATGGAGTTCAACCTGGTCTGTTGTGACATAGTAACTCACTGATGACATTGGTGGACGAAACGGATGTCCAGTACTTCCAGGTTTCTTATGATGGACTAACTTCAATTGACTCATGATCTAAACTATTAAAAATTACTATAAGATCCACAAAAACCCTTCTGATATGAATTAATTTCACTGACAAAAAGTCAGAAGCTATGTATAGCTCTCTACTGTAATAAGTTTAATTGTACCTATATATGTATATATACTCAAATTCGAATCCCGATGTAAACATCAAAACTAGGAAAATTCACCTACATCCAATTAACGAATCTGGAATACGACATGACTAACATCTTGAATCTTATCTCTAATCATAATTCAATTGCTCACAATCTTTGAAATGATCTTTTTTTTAAAACAATTAGTCCCTTTGATAAATTTCGATAATGCAATGAGAAGACGAAGTTTATCAGAATTATGTGATATGTATTTGAGCAATGCATTTCGAACAATCTTATCACACATATATACTTGTTAAGAACATTTATATATGAAAATTAAAAGTTCAACTAGACAGGTTAAGGGTAAGTCATAACAAAGGAAAAAACAATAAAGCATACAAAAACAAATGTGATTACCACTCTGGATAATAAATCAGTATTACCAGGGTAGGTTAAGTGTAAGGAAGAATTGTTTTTGAACACATAAAGGGGGTTTTAATTTCCGTATAGCCAAGGCTTCAATAAACCTTAGTATACGTCCTTGAAAGATTTTTTATAACACTACAAATGCTGATTTGATGTCTCAGAACATTTTTCTAACATTATATAATATCAATGGTTAAGATCATGAGTCAATTGAAGCTAGACCACCATGGAAAACTTGAAAGCACTGGACGGTCGTTTCGTCCTATTGTGGGACTCCTCAGCAGTGCTCATCGACAACCCCGCCTCGCGCGCGAGCACTTAATCACTAGACCACTGACTCATGATCTTAACCATTGAAATTACTACAATCTCCACAAAACCCATCTGATATTATATAATATGTTGACTACCTCCAACCATCATCTTATTATATAATATGTATTTAATTCCAACTCACAAATCAATATAAAATCAATTTTTATAATCAGATCATTGAAAATCAATGAAATGCTCTTTAAAAACTTATATTCTTTATAACACTATACTATAAAACCTAAGATGAACCCAATATTCAACATAACAATTGATAACTTGAGTTTATGACATTATATGAGTTTTTATTGTAACTACTAATGCGCATTCTATACAGAATACATTAAAGCATCTCTTAAAGAACTTCATATATATACACATATAATGTAAAACCTGGAAAAAATGTTTTTAGAAAGAAAAAATTATTCATATTGTATTTTAGTATTTATTTATAACCAATATAATAATAATATTTCACTTGTTGAAATCATGAGTCAATTGAAGCTAGACCACCATGGAAAACCTGGAAGCACTGGACGGCCGTTTCATCCTAGTATGGGACTCCTCAGCAGTGCGCATCCACGACCCGTCCACGGTCGTCCAGTGCTTCGAGGTTTTCTATGGTGGTCTAGCTTCAATCGACTGATGATTTCAACCTGTGAAATTTCTAAAAATCTCCACAAAACCCATTCTGATAATAATAATAATAATATTGTTTTATTATTGTATAATAATGATTGCGTGATCAAGTCATAATTTAAATTTATCTCAATGGATTATATAATTGTTTTTTAAAGAATGAAACATTACGTAATTTATTGTTACATGGTTATCTTCATTCAGATAATAATATTAGTAATAATTAATATACTACTAATAAATGTTTGTAAGCGATAGTACAAGTGAAAATGATTGTTTTTAGCTACATTATATATATAATGCATACGCTTATTTCTATTTATAAATGCCTAATTGTTCTTTGCACACATTCAGTGAAAGGAAATTGCTTTTAACCAAAATGTTTTCATCTATAAACGAATGAGATTACCTTTTTTTAGAACATAATTTAAAATGAATTAATTTATATCTCTTTTTTTCTGATAAATATTAATAAAGAAGGTAATTTTTATCATTTATTTATATAATCACATTCCATACATATATGAATGAATAAGGATGATAAGTCCTAGGTTGGAATCTCGCGAGGCGCGATCTTGGATGAAACGGTCGTCCAGTGTTTCCAGGTGATTTAGCTTCAATTGACTCATGAATTCAATTATTAAAATTGATATTTATAAGTTTGAAAGAAGTAATTCTTAAGTATGTTAAATGAATGAGTAGATGTAGTGACGTCACAGCGAACATTCAAAAAAAATCTGATCATGTTTACGATAGGTAATTAGCACACTACATAATGTGCATCATAAACACAACAATACCAGACAAACAATAATGGAACATACAGATCCTACACCATTTGAATCTTACACATTTGAACTGCTGGTACAATGTCTCGACTACAGTAATCTTTAATGCCTAGTATTTGGAATTATGTTTTCGTACTATTGATAATTACCATGGTAAATGTGTTCTAGGTTGTTAAGTGAAGGAAAATTATTTGGGATAATTGTGTATTGCAATTAGCTTATTCTACAAGATTAGTACACACATTAACTTAAATGAAAGGAAGTCCTGCTTGATCTAGGTTTCCTCTTAGTTAGCATACACCAAAAAGACATATCTGGAACTGTGTAAATTACTGGTATTCTCAGTGAGATTCGAACGTGCATTACTTAGTGTCTCTGAGTGATTTTACCAGTAAGTTGCTCCGGTTATGACTGACTTCCTGAATGACTTTAGTGTTTTTAACGTAATTAGTCACTGAATAGAGTAACCTATGGTATACTTGACTATTGTCCAAATTGTGGCTTGGTCAACAGAATTCAATCACTACTAAAAAACTAGATAAGAATGATTTTAATCATTACCCAGTGTTTAATGAACTTCTAATGATTTAAACATATATATCTGGATTGGTTAACTCTAACGTGGATATTTATATAAATCTGGGTATATTAAATTTCTAATAGAAAGTATAAGACTTCATGGTATATGTACTTTTCTCCTGTTTCTTATGACGATTATTCACTGTTAACCTCTGTGATTATTTTTTTCATCATGAATCGATATCCAGTAAAGAGTCATTGAAAACTAGGAATAATTAGATTACTATGCTATTCTAGTTTAAAATTTCGTATCAGTGTATGTTTAAGATAACATACAACACTGAAATTCAACGCACAGAGGTATGTATGGAAAACTCAATATTACCGAGTTAGAATTCAGCATTCAAAATCCTCAACTTCAGTCAATAGTTAGCGTTGTACAAAAGTTAACCACGTTCACTGACGGAACGTTGTATAATATTGAATTTGGTCGACTTCACAGGTTTTTGAGGTTTATTCAACATTAGGTTACTTATTAGAAGTATCCAAAGATTACTTTAAAACAATAAATTTAAATAAAGATATTCCTTTTATACAATTGTATTCAAAGGCTTACATAATTTAATCTACAGAGCAATCTCAGTTGAACAACTATTGAAAGCTAGGAAGCACTACGAGGCAGTTTCATCCTTAAATGTGGTTCTTGCTCAATTCATGACGACGGAAACCAGTACCTTCAGCACCACCAATCAGTTCTTAACCTTTAGACCATTGAGCCTGAATCCAATGACTTCAATATTATTCTTCAGTAGTTGTCTAACCAAGATCAATTTATAATGTTAACTATGAAATTCAACTATTTCCACAATCCCTATATTGTATTATTAGTGAGTTATTTACTAAACGAAAATGTTATTTGACATCATATCCTATTGCTTATTCATTTATTTATTTAGGCGTTTATATAGCAATTAATATATTACTGGAACGCATGAAAAATGAATCAGTAATTGATATATTTGGTCTGGTGAATCAATTACGTTTGCAACGTAATTATATGATTGAAACACAAGAACAATATCAATTTATATACACTGCATTACTTGAATCAATTACAGATGGAAATACAGAAGTATCTGCACGTAATCTATACACACATGTACAACATTTATCTATATTACAAACTACTACCACTACTATTAGTAGTACAAATGATTATATTAACAATTTCAACAGTCCATTATCAGCAACTATAACACCAACAACTACATCAGTGAATAATTTAAACGAACTATCTAGTAATACAACGACAACAAATTCGTTAGGTTTGACTGGTTTTCAACTAGAATTTCGTAAAATTAATAAATTATCACCTAATATAACTTTAGCATTGAATTGTAGTCAATCAAAAACTGGTTTTGTCAGTTATACACCACCTGGAAGTCCTATGCATGGTTATAAATTAAGTGTATCATGTGATGTAGCCAAACGAAGTGTAAGTTTAAGTGATATTATTTAATGTTTTAATCGAAAAAGTTTTGTGGAGATTAGTTATACTAATCAAAGATTGATCCCACTGGAGGTAGAATTGAACACCGGAGAGCACTAGACAACTAATTTGTTTCAGTATAAGAAAATATCATTCAATAACTTCAGTTATATCGGCAGTGGAACACATTCTATCAAAATCACTGGATGATTATCTCACTATATCGCTAAGTAATTGAAGTTAGAGTTGTACTTTTTGACTGTACTTCACTGACTCTAATAGTTTGTCAGGATACATGTTCCTGGGTTCAATCCCTAGTGAGATTACAGTTATGCGCTTACTGGCTTTCAATGGTACTTCAACTGAATATAATCTTTGACAGCAACTAATCATAATCTCATTTAAATAAAACATTAAAGATGTATATATCCAAAAAACTCGACATTCTCAATATTGAAATAAATAGAAAATCGTAAAGCTTTCTAGATGTTTGCTTATAGATTGTTATAGACTCTTGATCACTGTTAAAAATAATCCATCTATTCCGTCAACAATTGACAGATAAATGTTTATCTATTCTAAATTGTATATACCACTATCAGTGTTATTATTAGTTTAATTGACTTTCAAGAGTTTAGTATATTATTATTAGTAGAAGTGTGATGCGTACTACTTAAGTAGTATATAACGCGAGTCAGGAATGTAATGTCTGTCAGCAGAAGATTGGGAAGATCAAGAAAGGAAGAACGGGAATAGAAAGCAATTAGTATAGAAGTGCAAGAACGATGAAGTCCGAGACAATTATTGAACATTCTGCAAATTAGGTATTATAGTATGGTTTTTCTATTTTACCGAGTAACTCTGTCATGTTATGTTAAATATAATTCGGTTGTCTTCACCCGTGTTCTCCTTCACTACAGTAGTAGTAGTAACAGCAATAATAATAATATATCAGGGTTTATGGAGATCACTGAATTTGTTAGTTTACATCATGGACTGATCAGAATTAAACAACCAGTAAAAATATTTTTTTAAACAACACTGGATATCTGTCTCGTTTTAATACGGGGTTCCTTAACAGTAGGCATTGATGCCTACACTTAAAGTCGAACCCAAGACCTTTACTTTTTACAGTGCACACCTAATCTTTAGACCATTAAATTAATAGTTAGTTGTGGTATATATTTCTAGCTGCAATCACTTCACTGTATCGTACAGCTATCGTGAAATATTATTATTATTATTAGGTAAATATCTTACACTTAACACAGATGAACCTTACTGATGACACCTCTGTAGAATTCATGAGAATTATTTCTAAAATCTATTTACCAGTGAGCAAACGGTAAATATTATTACCATGAATGCAGGTTGTAAAGACTAATGAATTGATCTTCGTTAAATATTAATATTATTTTTCTATATTGTCTACAAATAAAATCGATAGCAATTTAAGAACAAAGAAAAAAAGAATAGCGATAGTAGCTCACTGCTGACAATGGTAGATGTGTTGCTCAATTTCGTCGAACAGTTGGAGTTAAACATTAATACGATTGGATGCCAGCCGGCTTAGTGATCTAGAGGTTAAGCGTTTGTGTGCGATACTGAAATGTGCTGGGTTGGAATCGCACGACGCAGGATCGTGGATGCGCATTGCTGAGGCGTCCCACAATAAGACGAAACGGCCATTCAGTGCTTACAAGTTTTCCATGGTGGTCTGGCTTCTATTGACTCATGATCTCAACTACTGAAATAAAGAGTAATGTTTTTTTAAAAAAAGAGGCCAGTAAAAATAAATTTTAAAAAAGTCATATATCTATATGGTGATAATCATAAATGTATTTCCATATACATTTTAGCTTAGTAACAATAATCTCTCATTTATAATCCTATAACTTGTATGTTCGATTTCTTTTCAGACAATAAATTGAACTTTTAAACTTAAACAGTCTATAAATCATGAGTCAATAGTAATCTAGACAATTCACTTCATTTTAGTCATCTGATTCAAAAGGATTTAAATTAAACTATTCAGTATATATATATATATATATATATATATATATATATATATATATATATATAATAGTTGAGCAAATTAAAGCTAGACCACCTTGGAAATCTTGGGAGCATTGGACGGCCGTTTCGTTCTAGGATGGGACTCGTCAGCAGTGAGCAACCACGATTCCACCCGTGGGACCCGAACTCAAAATCTATCGATCTCGCACGCGGACGCTTAACTTGTAGATCATTGATCCGGCATCCAGTGATGTTAACTTCGACCAAATACTTATGATTTGAAATGTTATTAAACACTACTCGAATAATCATTTCAATTACGATAGATCTCTAGTGATTTATTTCAAACTTAATATATTTTCTTCAATTTACTTAATTGCATAGTAAATATTGTGTATGTGTTATCAAATGAATAATTTCTAGATTAATATTATCTTAAATTCCGAATTACTTAAAAGACTTTCATTCAAGACCAAAATCAGAATAATCAATCCTGACTTGAAAATAATTCTGTTATGAAGGTTAGAACTACCATTACTATAATTAAAAAAGTACACGTACTTGTGAACAGCTGCTATGCAAGATATTTCATATCCGCTTTACAGAGCCAATCATCAATAACTTACTTTGGCAGAGAACAAATCAGCTGGTAGCTGAATAGTAGATCAGGAAAAGGTGTTAGAGGTGGATAGGACATAATTCGCGTGAATCAGCGAACTACATCTCAAACAGGCCGTAACTTGGAATGTTCAAGGCCAAAGAAAAAAAGTAGACCGAACAGTACATTGTGTTGAGAATTGATAATAGACGACAAGATGATGAAAATTACTTCATAACATCTGGGAAGAAGAGCTCAAGACCGGGTTGCTTCATTATTGCTGGTGTTTGGATTATGCACCATATGGAGTACTAAACACGTTTCCAATAAGATAGTATGGATTACAGTACTAATCATGTTGAGAAATTAACACAAATAACATGATCATCTTAATGCATCATAAATTGATTAGGGTCGGTTCTTACCAGGTGTTTTAAAGTTGTGCTATCTATTAGAAGTGTATGGAACTGTGAATACTTACTGCTGATGATTTCTAAATTATAACGAAGCAGTTGTCCATTCCATCTTTAATTTCACTGATTCTTACATTTACGAATATTTATGATAAAGATACATTGAGTTTTAAGATGTTTAGTTGACGAATGTGTTATTCATTTGCAATCAATGTTATACTTATCAACATTTGAATTGTCATTTTATACAGACGAACACTTATCAGTATGATATTTTCTGAGAATCTTGATAAATCCTATACTCAACAACAAATGTTTATTCCAATGCTACATAAATCATATCACATTATTCCTATCTAGTTGTATATCCAAAGAGTACAATATTTAAGAGTACACTTACGTTTTGATCGTGTATATTACAAAGAGTTAGCACTTTACAATCGAATCAAACTAAGTAGTCAGTAACAGTGTGTCTAAATCCAGTCGGAAAACTTAAGTTTTACATTAATCATTAGAAGTCGTGATTAGTTCTAATCATCTATCTTTGTTTTGGACAACAGATACTAGGTTCATATAAAAACATGAAGGGGACAAAGTTGATGAGGCCCGATCAGGAAGAAACACTAAACCGTGATTTAACTACTATCTGTTATCTACAATATGATTTGATATTAAATAGTTTAAAATAAATGAAGATAGAAAATCACCTTTTAACCTAAACAGTATCCTATAAATAAAACATTACGCTACTCATTCTACTTACCTTCTATAGTTTGCAAACAAATTCCCAAACACAGCGAAATTAAATCTGTCAAGATACAATCCCTGATATAAGCTTTACTCACTCTTTATATGCTAACTGCGCAGCAGACATTTTTCTAAACATTATGAAAGTCAATCTAACTATTATTTACTCAGTTACTATGGTAATGAGCAGAACACGGTTGGGGACAATCGAATGTATTAGGCTCAGCATTACGGAGCATCTCAATAAAATTTGAGAACCATATATTAAATCGTCAATTTGTAAAATGTCCACCAGTTGTTTCAAAATGCCTCAGACTTCATTGTTCTTACATTTTCATACAAATTGCATTCTATTCCCACTCTTGCTTTCTCGATCTTCCCCCATCTTCTGCTGCCAGACATTACATTCCTGACTTGCATAATATACTACTTATATCAATATAAGTAGCACACACCACACTATTACTGAATATGTATATTTCGTACCTTTAATATATAACTAACGACAGATAATGAGATAATACTTTATGAAACTGAACATACTGTTTGTTGTGTAGATGGTATTCGTCATGGGTCGATTTTATGTAAGTTATCATTGGAAACTGAAGAGCAATACTTAACTGTTTCGTCATACCACTCTTTAGAAGTCCTAACTCCCAATCCTCCCAAGACCAGATTTCATTACATTCAGGTCTCGTGAAAGGCATTTAATCATCAGACCTCGAACAACGTTGTAAGTTAACAGTATTGTGGAATCCTGAACATTCTAAGATGAAATACGCGTACACTTCACCTTTGGTTTTCATTAATATTTGTAAGAAATACTATTTACAAATTAAACAAACTTACACAGAATCCCTTTCATAAAAATACTGTTTGACCTAAGTACTTACACATAATCATAAAGTTCATATCTATACCATGACAACAACGATAAAAGACTACATAAAAATCACCTTTTATCGTATCAGATATGATATGATAAACGATAATACAATAGTATGGTAACGGTTACTGAATAAAATGTTAATGTCAAAATTAGCGTGGAAATTTCAGACATCATAGAAGTATTATCAATCATATTAAACAATATCTAACAACAAAAGGTGAATAGGTCACTCAGACAAGGATTAAAGTAAGTTCACCAGACATTAGTTAGTTATTTGTATGAAAAAACTCAACTTTTTGAAACTTATCATGGTATCGATGCTTGAAAAAGAACATTGTTACAAAGAGAAATCTAACTTTAATACACTAATAACGATAGGATAAGTATCCATGACTTTATAGCTTATCGTTCTTCCATAAATAATATGTGTGTGGTATTAGGCATCTTTGAACACTTTTTTGTTCATTTATTAGATGATTACTGTATGTAAGAACATCATTTTTTCCAACTGAAGACTTCATTTCAAGCACTGAATTTTACGTTATTCGTTTCTTTCATCCAGTAAGTTGGGGTATATTATGATAGCTGTTCATAGACGGTATACGCGGAGAGATTCAGATGACTGAAATAAAAACCTCAATAAAATAAGTGTTATTGGATGTAATGCTCATCTACTAAATAAACTGGGAAAACTTCAGACATGATAGATTTTGCACATTTTTAAACATTCTAGAATGATGCACAATCCCACACAACAATGTAAATATGAATAAATAAAAAAATATAGATAAGTGAAGAAAGCGATTTCGTTTAACAATTAAAAAATTCCACATTTCACATCATTGGACGGCCGTTTCGTCCTAGTATGAGACTCCTCAGCAGTGCGCATCCATGATACGGCATTCGAATACAGGGTCATCGGTCTTGCACGTGAACGCTTAACCTCTAGACCACTGAGCCGTCATCCAATAAAGTTAATGTCTAACTTCAACCGATCCATGATCTTGTGAAACTTTTCAATGGTGGTCGATTACATCTCAGTCCTACAGGAGGTCGGTCGCGGCTCGAACAGCTCAGTGGTAACGTCTCAGACTGTGAAGCTGGGTGACACGAGATTGGATCCGCCACGGAGCACCAGCTCCTTCAAGATTACAGGTACACCTTGCTGACGAGTGCCAAGTAGCACGAAACCCGGGTCCAGGGTTTCCTGTTGACTACCTCCAACCACCATCTAATCTCACAATAGTGCACGCAGTGTCGAGTCACCTAGGCTGGTGGCCACATTGCAACATGGTCGATAGTATTTGGTCTGCACTAATAAGGACTAGACACGCATGACATTGATTGCCACTCAGTGATCAATCAATTGTGACTAATTTACATTCATTAAATCATAAAACATTAAACAATTCTATCAATAATCAATTATAGATATGAATTTCTTTCCTAGTTTTCTCAAAATATAGTTCTATCTTTTATTAATCTGAAATATTTTGATTGGGCTTCTGATGTGTAAATATGTATTATTCAGTTTATTATTATTTTAAACTATCCATATTGATTGTTTGGAGAACTTTTATCTTTCGTCATTCGAATGACAACTAACATTCAGTATTCATTACTTATGATCATTTAAATCACAACTTCATGAATCAACTTCAATGATGAAATCATTGAACAAATTGAGTTCATAATACTAATATTTAGTTGTTTCTTTTTCATTACATTCTAAAACGTTATGTTACATGTTGTTCATTTAAATGGATATATTTATAGATGATACTTTTATGGAGTAGATGAAATGCTTACAGCCTATTATGTCATAATTACATGATAATCATCTACATATGCCCACTAGTAACTGGCTTTAAGAGGTATTTTCTAGAGTTCTAGTGAGAAACAGTGACTAGTGGATTTCAACCCGTTATGTTGTGAGATAGTAACTCACCAATGACAATGGTGGATGTGTCGCTCAATTTCGTGGATTAGTTAAAGTGATACTCACTGACCTAAATATTAAAACAACATGCCGTATCTAGTTTTTTTCTCAAGATTTATCAGCCACTGTGTTCAGAGATGTATGTAGTTTAGAGGTTGCTTTGGCGTTAGGCGGCTGAAGTCAGTCAGCAGGAAACGCTAAAGTCACACTTCTTCCCACTAGGCAATCATCTGTAAAGTGTACCTGAAGTCCTTATAGAACTGGTGTTTGCTGTGTGATTCAAACTGGTGTTATCCACTTTCATAGTTTGAGATGTTAGAAGTGAGTGTTTTAAGTAGTAATTGATCTCCGTATGCTTATTTATTGGTACTACTCTATCGCTGAGTAGCAGCAACTAATGTCGTGTTTGTACAGTCTATAATGCTGATCGAATTCGATCGATCAAGTTTTAATTAAGGCAATATTTAAGCATGATCTTAGTCACCACTTAGTCATCCTAGTTCAACTCGGGGCCATTCGTGGTTCAAATAACTCAAAGATAACGTCCTGGACTGTAGAAATAGACAACACTTATAAAGGCGGGATCAGTTGTGTAAGGATATTAGAGACTCCTTACTGATGAGTGAGTAATAATAAGAAATGTAGCTCCAGAATTTCCTGCTGACAAACTCTAATCCTGCTGATTGATAGAATACGATCAGCACTAAGGGCCAAACAAACAAGACAATGGTTCCTACTCAGCGACCAGTAAATTTATAGATAACATTACTGACGATTCATTCCTAAACACAAAATTAAGCAGTTACCATGCTCTTTATGTCTATTAACTCTATGAACGTACACTTTAAAACATGTATTCATTAACATTCTATCATTCTGCCCCACTAAAATGTCTATTACAGGTTAATTTTAGTAAAAATCGACTAGTCAATATAGTACCATTTGATTGGAATCGTGTTACTCTATGTTCAATACGTGGTGTTGATGGATCAGATTATATCAATGCCAGTTTTATTGATGGTTATTTGAAGAAAAATGCATATATTGCTTGTCAAGGTCCAATGATCTCAACTGTGGAAGATTTTTGGCGTATGGTTTGGGAGAAACACAGCTGTCTCATAGTTATGTTGTGTTCAGTGAAGGAAAGTGGAAAAGTAAGAATATATATATATATATATATATATATATATATATATAATATGCATGTTTACAAATTAATACAAATCAATTTAAATTATCACATGTATCATGAATATGTACTAAGATTTGAATTCTGGGATACTTTGACAAAAATAAAAGATTTTTACAACTTACTTTACAAACTGACCTTAACTAAATAACCGCTGAAAACCAGGAAGCACTGGACAGTTATTACATGCTAGTATGGGACACTTTAACTCCACTTGTAGCTCTTCTAGGGCTACTGCCGGTCCCAAGCCCACGCAAGGGGGGAAAGTTGGGTTTGGGGTCGTGTGGTGTTTGAATGGACTAATGATATCTTGGTACTGGTTGAATACTTGATTTCGAATTCTAAATACAATACATTCGTTTGTGCCTGTGTCTTCTTAGTTCAATTGCGTTAATCCTGGAATTCCTAGTTCATACTATAATTAGAATATTATATTGGCGTCGCGAGCAGGATCCTGCAATGGAAAAGTTGGATATTCATTCAACTCCTGAAGCTTTTGAAGATTACTTTGAAAGGTTCGAAATCTGGGCTATGACCAAGGAAGATGATGAGGATGTTAATATTGTGGCACACTTCCTCACATTCATTGGAAAAGAAACATACAGCTTATTAAGAACTCTGGCTATGCCGGAAAAGCCCATTTCGCTTTCTTATACAGCTCTCAAGGAGCTGCTGCTAGACTATGCTCAGTATACAAATTTCGAATGTCGTAAAGGAGGAAGATTTCGTAAAATGATTCATGAGGATATAAACAAGTCCACTACATTACGTCACCCCAACCCAGTTCATATTCAAGATTATGCAGACAATTCGTTGAGTTTGGATGCAGTTCACGAGGATGGGGACAAGTTTGGTCAGTGTTTGTCCTGTTGCAAGTTCCACTCTTCTAATTCATGTAAATTTCGTAATTCTAAGTGCTTCAAATGTCGTGATATTGGACAAGTTAAGTCAGTTTGTAATGCTAATGTTCATCTTACTGCAACTAATATTAAGTCTTGTAATTCTGATTCTACTGAGTCGAGTATTCATGATGATCATTTATCTTTATCAACGATTTCAAAAGACAGTGCAGAGTCATATGGCAGTTCAGAGTTAAGTGAAATCCAGAATTCTTGTGAGACAACAGTTCCTAATCAACCGATTTATCAGAATTCTGATGCTATTGTACCAGGTATGACTTTTCCTAATGATTCACATATTTCTAATGAAATTACTTGCAATATTGAGGAAAATATGTTAAATGTACCTAATCATGATCAAAAACCTGATGTGGTTTGGATAGATGCTGATTTTTCTAACGATCCTACGCTCTGCAATGACAGTCCTAATGAATTTCATGTGAATATTTCAGAAGAATCAAATCCTGATGTCATATTATATATTACCTATCCTCATAATGCATTTGATCCTTGTGAAAAACCTGCTCAATGCGAAGCACGAGTACAAAGTGACCTCGAGTTTTATTACATTTCGGATGATTTCATATCAACTGTTGTTTACCCTTATCACAAAAACAGTTCTAATGTTTACTCTAAACAATGTGAGAAATATGTTTTAAATGAAGCCACATTATTCATAACTTGGGGATATAAAGATCCAACATTATTTCGTGGGGGAGGATAGTGTTGAAAAATCTATGGTTCAAATTCTAGATATTAATGATTTCAGTACAAAACCGATATGCTGATTGTATACAATTCCAGATACTACAAAGTTTTTATCTTTTACAATGTCGGACAGACTCAGGATGAACTTAACAAGAAGACGTACAACCGATTACAAACACTTATACTTCTATTTAAGCTGTGGCGGATGTGGTGTTTGAATGGACTAATGATATCTTGGTACTGGTTGAATACTTGATTTCGAATTCTAAATACAATACATTCGTTTGTGCCTGTGTCTTCTTAGTTCAATTGCGTTAATCCTGGAATTCCTAGTTCATACTATAATTAGAATATTATAGGTCGGCAACCACATCTCGTAGAAAACAACCTTACTAAAACATACTAACCAGAATAAACAAATTAAACAATTTAAACTCTGCCCTGGGAGTCGAAGGAAGAATTATGACGTCTCATAATAAAAGCCGAGATTCTTCGGAAGCTGCGAGGCCCATACCCCTCTTAACAACTAGAGCAACAATTTTTATAAGTACGCGAAAGACCGGAAGGACAGGTCAAATAGCTGAGGACATGAGGAGATACAACTTGACGGTTCTCAGAATCCGCGAAACCCATTGAACTCTAGCTGGACAGCAAAGGTTATGTAAGGAAGAGATGCTGCTGTACTCCGTTCATGAAGAGGAAAATGCTCCACACACTCAGGGAGTTGCTCTGATGCTGTCCAAAGAGGCTCGAAATGCACTTTTAGGATGGGAATCTCATTGACCCATAATCATCAAAACATCCTTCCAAACAGAGAAGTAGGGAATTGAAGTTAGTATTATCCAATGTTATTCGCCTACCAATGACAGCAACGACGACAATAAGGATCAGTTATATGGGAGGCTGCAATCGATCATAACGAAGTGCTCAGGAAAGAACCTGACAATTCTGACGTGAGATCTAAACTCCAAAGTCGGAATGGACAACACCGGATATGAGGATATCATGGGACGACATGGACTAGGAGAGAGAAACTAGAATGAGTTGAGATTTGCATTCAACAAGTTGGTTATAGGCGGAACATTATACTCACACCAACACATACACAAAGCTACACGGGTCTCACTGGACCAGACTGATCATATTTGCATAGGTAAACAATTCACAAGGTCAATGGTAGACGTGAGAACCAGGAGAGGTGCTGACATAGTTTCCGATCACCAACAACTGGTTGTGGCCAAGATGAAACTGAAACTAAAGAAGCGTTGGATAACTGGACAAACAGGATTACAAGGGTTCAATACAGCCTTCATTCGTCATACTAACAAACTCAACGAATTCAAGATAGCTCTGAGCAACGGGTTCCAAGCCTTACAGGATCTACTCAGTAAGGGGAAACTACTATGGAGGACAACTGGAAAGGTATGAAAGAAGCACTAACTTTAATATGTCAGGAGGTTCTGGGCCTCAAGAAGCATCGTCATAAAAAAGGATCTCTATCGAAGCCCTGGACGAGATTCGAGGAAAGGAGAACAAGAAGACAGCAATTAACAACAGCCGAACAAGAGCAGAGAAAGTCGAGGCACAAGCTGAATTGACAGGAAAATATAGTAAACCAGAGAGACCGGTCAAGGAGAAAGAAGGCAAGCTAATCAATGAAATTCAATGACAGAAAACACATAAGTGGAACAATTTGAGAAACTCTTGAACAGACCAGCTCCATTGAATCCACCGGTTATCGAAGCAGCACACATAGATTTCCCTATAGATGTCACTCCACTAACGATCGAAGTCAGGATGGTTATCAGACAAATCCAGTGTGAAAAAGCAGCAGGACCTGTCAATATACCAACCGAAGCTCTGAAGTCGTACACAGAAGTAACTGCAAAGATACTCCATGTCACTTTCAGGAAGATTTGAGAGGGAGAAAAATTGCCAACAGACTGGGTAGACGGGTACCGCACCAAGATACCAAAGAAAAGAGTAGTTTAACCCAATCACCCAAGCCAATGGCTATCAAGAATCAGTAGGTAAGTGGATAATGTGATAGATTTTGAAGCCAATAGTACTGAATTCGAATCCCAGAATGAAAAATAACTCTGGTATGCATGTACATACAGCTGAAGAATCACAAATAAAACAAAACCGCACGTCCTGTATTTCACTGCTAGCCACTATCCATCTTTGCTTATAATGCTTGTGAATTAAGACAATATCGAGGCAGTTCTCACAGGATGCACATATGCCAATAAAAGACTGATCGATTGCAGTCCTAAACATCAATCGGAAGATACAAGAAAACAATACCAAGTGTATGATATCATAGGTAGTTTTTTTGATTTTATGATAATAAATCATTTCAACTTACTACAGAATAACATACTTGACTTTGTCATGTAAATTATGTGAGAAAACCGAAGTAAATGTAATAGGTTTCGAACCTTGAAATGAATTCTTTCTCGTAAATGAATACTTTTTGAGTGGTGAGTTAATCTTGTTAGTAAATGAGATAAACCAGTCTGAAGTTTAAATACAATTACACAATGGGAGTAATTTTATTTAAAAAAATCATCTTGATTTAATTCTATAAACTAGAATAAATCAGATTACAACAAAACACTATGATCATTAAACTCATTTGAATCCTTCTATCTAATTGTAATAAACCAGTATAATATCCAGATTATTCACTGAGGTAGGAAGAAATTAAACTCATCTGTTTGTCATTGAGTAGTCGAATATGTAAATTAGTAACTTTATAGTCTTTATTTTAAAATAATTTAGTGACTTATATAATTTCTATACAAAACATTCTATCCTCATTATAAATGTTGGAAACGTTACGATTAGAAACAAATCTAATACTCGTTAAACTAATGGCGACAATTTTAACTTATCGACTTGATAGATAACTGTTTGGTATTTAACATTATGAATACTGAATTCAAATCCTGATGAAAGCAACAATCCTGACTGAGATAAAAGTACTTCAAACTGACAAGTTTCATATATGATAGTTCAACTTTCAGTCACGTTCATAAAGATAACATGAAAATTACAGAAAATAATCATCCAGATAGAAACAGACAGTGGTTTAAGATTAAGTAAATTCTTTGCTAAAATGAAAGAAATCTAATCGAAGCGCAGATCAAACCATGAAGTCACCCAATATTGTATTATATTATGTTGGTAGGTATGTAATAGACGATAACACAAGTGGAGACAACAGATTTATTGTTTAATACGAAATTACAGAATCTCTTGGTGAAATATGAGAACCATACACTGAATAATTCATTTGTAAATTTTCATCATTTATCCTTCACATTCTCTATGATTCTTTCAGTTCACAATTTTTTTTCTATTCGTATTTCTAGTCTCTTTAACTCGATCTTCTTAGCTTTCTGCCGCCACATTTTCTACTTCCTATTGACGTTATATACTACTTATGTTGAAAGATATAAGTAGCATACACCACAAGTAGGGACTATTGTATTTAAAAGTTGGAAATGATAGATAACATAGATCAAAATTGTCACAGATTCATTCACTCTTTGTTTTCGCTTACATATTCAGCTTTAACATCATTTGGTACTCTACTCTATAAATTTATTCTTTGTTCTCAATTTATATTGTTTATATCTACAATGGCCCTCCTATTGCATACACACGAACAAATGCAGATAAAGACAGCCAGTGTAGCCGCAGTCTCTGCATCAATAGGCCTCAGCATACACAAGGAGAAAACCAAGGTCCTCAAATTCAAAACGAAGAACAGCAATCCAATCACTCTTGATGGCGAAACTCTGGAAGATGTAGAATCCTTCACATACCTGGGAAGCATCATCGATGAACAAGGAGGTTCAAATGCAGACATAAAGGCGAGGATTGGCAAAGCAAGAGCCACATTCCTACAATTGAAGAACATATGGAACTCAAAACAACTTTCAACCAATATCAAAGTGAGAATCTTCAATACGAACGTCAAGGCAGTTCTACTGTATGGAGCTGAAACTTGGAGAACTACAACAACCACCATCAAGAAGGTACAAGTATTTATAAGTAGTTGTCTACACAAGATGCTCAACGTCCATTGACCGGATACCATCAGCAACGGCCTTCTATGGGAGAGAACAAACCAGCTTCCAGCGGAAGAAGAAATTAGGAAAAGACGATGTAAGTGGATAGGACATACATTACGTAAATCGTCAAACTGCATCACGAGACAAGCCCTGACTTGGAATCCTGAAGAGAAGCGTAAAAGAGGAAGGTCAAATAACAGATATGAAAAGGATCAATAGGAACTGGAAAAAGCTGGAAAGGATTGCCCAGGACAGGGTTGGATGGAGAATGCTGGTGATCGGCCTATGCTCCTTCACAAGGAGTAACAGGCGTAAGTAAAGTAAAAAAGTAATGTCTACAATGGATACTGTTAACACTACTACTAATCTATGATTTATTTTAATAATTTCATCTCACTGTAAGGATCTGTTATGGTAAATTGAATTGACATATATTATATGTGTATGTACCAGGTTTAACATTGTTTATTTCTGACCGATTAACCAAAATCTATTATACTAGCAACTAATATTCTTCAGTATATTTTAATGATAGATTATGTGCCATGAGAAAACAAAACACACATACACATCAAATCGTAATCGAAAAATAAACATATTTTATAGTATTCAATTAGTTTATATTGTTTTAATATTTATACAGGAGAAATGTTTTACATATTGGCCAGAAGACAAACCATCACGTTATCAATTTTTTGTAGTTGATTTAACAGTTCAATATACAATGTCTAGTCATATATTACGTGAATTCAAAGTGACTGATGCACGTGATGGTGAATCACGTACAATAAGACAATTACAATATATACGTTGGAATGAACAAGGATTACCACAAACTGGTGAAAGTCTAATTGATTTAATTGGGCATGTGCATAAAATTAAAGAACAATATCATTATGATGGACCAATTACTGTTCATTGCAGGTAAATAAAATAATTATTAGTATAGGGTTATGAAGATTGTTGGGTTTAGATTGATATTATGAATGAATCAATACTGAATCACCATTGAAAACTTGGAAGTACTGGACAGCCGTTTTGTTCTAGTATGCGCCGCGTAATATCATGGATTGGTTGAAGTTAAACGTTAACACCAGTGGATGCCGGCTCAGTAGTCTAAAGGTTAAGCGTTCGTTCGCAAGCCGTGCAATGCGTCCAGGTACTCATTGGTGGTTTCACATTGATCCACACATGATATCATTCCAAAATAGCTACTATTATTATTCATAGTTTACATCAGTTCATTCAATGAATTATTCTCAGGATTTTGTCTAGCCTTCTGCATTGATCAATAATCTACTGTTCAGTAAACTGTCAGAAAAACATCTGTCTCATACTCTTCTCATTTACATCATTTAATATAAAAGTTCCAATTATTTTTGGTTTTTCTTATCAGTAGCAGTTGTAATCCAGTCATTTACTTAACATATTATGTTATGAATTAATTAGTTGTATATCAGTAATTTGGATCTATAGACTGTGTGTTCTACCATTTTGAACTCATATTGAGCTTAGCTCTGTCGAATAAACAGTTCTGCAAACGTTGACCATTCACCACTTAGTACCAGACTAAATTTTGTCTGCTCCGTATTGACAACCGAATATCTAATGTGGACATTCATGTTAGGAATTCAGAAACAAATATTCCTCATCGTGGGATACTTTGTACATTTATGGCAATTTGGATCCACTTTACTCATCACCCTGACTAGAGGTATTACAAATAAGCTATTCAAACCCAATTCATAGGTACCACTCTCAATAATGACGCCCCGGTGAGTACAGATTCGTATTTTTGAGATAGTGTTTGTATCCTTGAGAATGTATAAATACCTTGATGATTAAGAAATTTCGATTCAAGTTTCACTCCAAATTTCCCTTAATGATACAGCACGAAACACTTAACATTCAAATTTCGAAAGAATTTCACCGACTTAGGAGATAAAAAGTTATGATACTAACTGACAGATAATAACTATTCAGTTGGTCAATTCGTCGAACGCTTCACTTCCATCTGAAGTTTGTGCTGATGATGTCCTTCAAAAGAATGATGAAAGCTCCACGACCAATTCATCCAGCTCAGAGAACAAAACCCCATCAAAAAGTTAATCAGATATTATCAATACAGAGACTCAACTCCCAAACCATATTCGTATGGTTAGATTCAATTTATATGAATGTCAAAGGGAGTCAAAATAAGCAGTAGAAATGATGTTGATGAGAAAGGCTAAGCATTGAGAATATGGCTAGAAAAGACAGAACAAGAAGGTATGCATATAGGAATACTGATTTCAAGATCTAGATGAAGGTAAGGAGAGAACAATTCTACACCATATTAATTAATGTCTTTGAGCAAAGATCACGGTTATCTAACGGACCACAGACATGACAGATTTACAAAATCATTTCTATTGCACTTTTTTTGTTTTGTTTTTACAGTTCTGGAGCTGGTCGAACAGGTTTATTTATCACAATGTGTAATGTATTAGAAAGATTACGTCAAGAATCAGTTGTTGATATGTATCAAACAGTAAAATTATTAAGACAACAACGTGTTTGGATGGTTCAAACTGAAGAACAATATCGTTTTTGTTATATAACAACATTAGATTATTTAAATTCATTTGATTTATGCACACAACCACAATTATTAATTCAAACAACAACAAATAATTTACCATTGAATAATTCACCAAATCTTAAATTAAAACTGAAATCTTCACAATTCAATGATAAGACTGTTGTATTTGAATTAGATAAAAATTATGAATTGAATGATAATAATTTAGTTGAATAAAACAAGAAACGAATACTATAAAACGTTCAATGTTCAATGGACCTATATTTCTTGAATATAAGTGTTACATCTCTATACATGTACATTTACAGTTTATAAGTATCATTCATATTTTATCACTAGTAGGCAACTTGTTTGAATATCTGAGCTATATGTTCCTACCATTTGAATATTTCAACAAATTATCTGTCTTTTGTTTGTTTCATTATGTCAATCAATTGAATAACCTATTTATGTGCATTTGGTGAAAAGGAAAGAGCACAATCAGACACATTATTCAGATGTCAATTCCTCAACTGATAACATTTAATTAGCGATCAATCAATATTTATCGTCGGGATCGATCACGAAATAAGAAAAGGAAACTTATTGAAATACTTTGTGTTGACAACTTATTATTGTACCAAAAAAATATAATACTGAATAAGGCCATTAATAATCATAGTAATGTTGTGTTACAATTATGTAATGACAACAAAACATTGTAAAAATTTGTTCATATCGATCAATTTGAAGAAGAAACAAACTTCTAATGATCAATGATTGATAAATCATTGACTAAGTATACTAATATAAACACAGTTCCAAAAACAAAAATTGAGTCCATTTATTTTGTTCAATTGAATATAATGGGTTTTTAGAGATTGACTAGTATTACATTCTATTGACATTTGATTGCCAAAGGAATTCTTATTGAAAATTAGTAAATATTTATATGAACTTGATACATTGTAATGACATAATATTCATTGTGTTCTTGTGTATATATATGTATGTGCATTCATTAGTAAGTTGGTTGAAACTAAGCTCATATGATGGATTGATCTTCTTCGAGTTTAATCTAATTCAATTGTTCTGATTACATAAACTTTTTAGAATGTTAAAATTAGTGCGAGTGATATTATGATAACTAACACTAGAAGAGGCTTTTGAAGATCATTGAGTGAAAACGAAATCATAAAATGACTAAACTAAGAAATCTCTTGAAAATTATGCATGAACATCTTCAAGACTGCGCATCTATTACTGTATCACGTAATGAATCCAATATCCTCGGTCCCTCGACGAGCGCTTAATCTCTAGACAACCTAACCTGCGTCCGATGGTTTTCATGTTTAACTTTAGTCAATACACAAAAGTACACAACCAATCCTCATTGACTTCTATGAGTAGCTGACTAGAATCCGATATGGTTGAACTTCACTATCCATAAACTCTAAGTAGAACTTCTGTAATTACCTCTGAAAATCAGTGAGTAAAGAATAATTATAAGAATGGAGAGTTTAGGGTGATGGGTAAAAATTATTGAAGGCAATCGAAGATTGGTGTGTGATATTGCAGGCTGATTCCAGTTAACATGATCCTGGCTTAGTAATCTAGAGCTCGAGCGTTTGCAGGAGAACCAGGGGTACTGGGTTCGATAGTCATTGGAGTAATGGATGCTCTTTGTTATGTCGTCATGAACAGCGCAGAACCAGGAACATGTACGTACCAGCAAAGTAAGATGAAATTATCTGGATAAATGCTAGAGTAGTGGGTGTAGTACCAGTAGTAACTGAATAACATTAGGTAAAGAAAATATGATTCGACAAAAGAATGAATTCGCGAGATAAAATTATCAAAGAATGTTATGACTGAAGACTAAATGCGTCTTCATCATGACTGTTTCTTTACAATGTCATTCAACATCTACAACTATTGATCACGGCAATCGCTCTGATTAAATGAGATAGTCTACACATACACCGACGTGGCTCAATCCAACGATCATCAAGTTCACAAAATGATGCCACGTTTTTGCTTGCTAACCCACAATTCGCTTTTAAATTTCGTAACAGAGTGTCAAATTAGGCGGTGGTTGAGCACCTGTGATACATGTTTTAACCACTTCAGTCAATCAAGAATCAATACCTTATCAGCTGATTAGTATTGTATACCTGCTATGCTTAGTCTAACTTCAGCTTTGATCAATCAGTACTTCAAACATACTCAGATAATGCTTTGAAAACTCCTATGATCGGATTCTTTTACAACCACCAAATTTCCTCTGTTTACCTGGTAACGTATTAAAAATAAGAAAGGATTGTGCAGGACAGAGTTGGATGGAGAATGTTGGTGGACTGCCTATGCTCCTCCGTGAGAGGTAACATGCGTAATTTAGTAAATAAGTACTTGGAAGATCTTATACAAAGTATTTAAAATAAGAGGATCTTATGTGGATTTTTTTGAAATAACTTCAGTGATATGAAAACATTAATTGTACGATATCCTTTTGTAATTCAAGACAAACCTTATCATGAGTTAACACTAACTGGATAAAAATAGAAAGCTAAGTAGATTTAAAAACTGTTTCCTCCCTGTCAAAAGCGCTTCAGATTTACACTTTTATAGTTATACTTTACACTGCTTAGCAGTTAAAAGCCACATATCCTAATCTTTGTTTATTATCCTTTATAAAACCTTTAATATTCATTATTGTATTTCGCCTTTGACAGAAAATTACAGATATTAAGTGGCTGGAGACAAATGGTAAGACTCACTGGAACTAAGTTTCGTGTTTAGTTGGCACTTAATAGCAAGTTAAACCTAAGTGAACTGATGCTCCCAGAATTATTTGGAAAAAAATTTAGCAAATTGCTAACTGATCCATGGCCCTCGAACAAAGCTACATGTTGGACAAAAATCGCACTATATAATCACTCAACAACTAATTATTGTAACTCACAGAAATAGTTTAAAAAAATTATTCATTGAGATATACGTACATTCAGCTGATAAGTCTTAGGATGAAACGAGCGTCTTAGATTCCATTACTAATCACTCGTCAAATTTAATAAAAACTAGTAACTCAATTGTACTATGGAGAAAGTCCTCTCAGGATGCATATAAGTCAAACGAGACTGGTCGATCATAGTCCTCAATTATCAACAAAAAAAAAATAGAAACTCTTGAAAACAAAGTTTTTACATGATACACACGGTATTGACTATCTGATCTCAGGGACTTAATAGATAACGTATGTTAGCTTTTGAAAGGAAAGATACTGAGTTCTAACTTTGATATGAACATCAACCCACCGGAATACAGAGATATCAAGATGATGATTCATAAATACGATAAAGTGCTGACCTTGAATCCCACTATTTATTTATCGATCTACAGATATCTGTTTCATTTCAAATTAAAACGATGTATAGTTCATCATTATATTCCACTCGACAAACAATGTTTTTTCTTGTTTTAATTAAATATAATAATTACTTACGCCTGTTACTCTCAATGGAGCATAGGCCACCGACCAGCATTCTCCAACCCATTCTGTCCTGGGCCTTCCTTTTCAGTTCTATCTAATTTTTGTTCATTTTTCTCATTTCTATCTCCATTTCCCGGCGTAATGTGTTCTTTGGTCTTCCTCTCCCCCTTTGACCTTGAGGATTCCAAGGGAGAGTTTGCCTTGCGACGTAGTTAAGTGCTTTCCCCAATGTATGTCCTATCCACTTCCAGCGCTTCTTCCTGATTTTTTTCTTCCGCTGAGATCTGGTTTGTTCTCTGCCATAATAGATTGTTGCTAATAGTGTCTGGCCAACTGATCTGAAGTATTTTGCTTAGACAACTGTTAATAAACACTTGTATCTTCTGGTTGATGGCTTTCGTACTCCTCCAGGTTTCCACCCCATACAGTAGAACTGTTTAGATATTTGTATTGAAAATTCTGACCTTGGTGTTGGTGCACAGACAATTGTTTTGAGTTCCAGTTGTTCTTCAGTTGTAAATATGTTGCTCTTGCTTTGCCAAATATAATACATTAATATAATAAATGAGATTTATTTGTTCATTCATTGTTTAACATTTAACACTTATTATTTATCAATAAACAATCAAAATAAATTCCAGAGGTCAATAATTGGAAATCATATGCTCATAGATACATAGATACATATTTATCAATTCATACCTACTGACAGTTTCAAGGGATACATATACTACTTTAGTAGTTAAAATGGAATATGAATCATTCTTACATTATTTTTTCTTTTTTTTGAACTAAACATATTTACATATTATTAACAAAGAATGAATTAATCAGAGTTCTAATTGACGTCACATTCAAAGGGATATATGATTAGTGATGATTTATATACATTAAAATAATATATTTATTTTATTAGTCTTTATCCCGGTTTTCTTTTCCTTTTCTTATTTCCCTTTTTTTCTCTCTTCAACTCTATCAACCATGAAGAATACAAGAAAAAAACCACAAGAAGAATTCATCAAGTCAAACAAGGATACAATAGTTTTTAAGAAGAAAAGAAAATGAGTAACGGAAAGCAAATTATTCATCGAATTCTAACTTTTATGATGATAATGATGATGATGATGATGATGATGATGATGATGATGATGATGATGATGATGATGATGATGATGATGATGATGATGATGATGATGATGATGATGATGATGATGATGATGATGATGATGATGATGATGATGATGATGATGATGATGATGATGATGATGATGATGATGATGATGATGATGATGATGATGATGATGATGATGATGATGATGATGATGATGATGATGATGATGATGATGATGATGATGATGATGATGATGATGATGATGATGATGATGATGATGATGATGATGATGATGATGATGATGATGATGATGATGGAGAAGCTGAGTCACACTCAAATTTGATTGGTTATGAATGAAGTAACTTTATTCACTTTTTTTTTGTACATGTTCAAATAGTATTTAAGATATTATTTAAAGTGTTTTAATTTCTTGAAATAAAGTTAACAATTGCATCATCAATTTCATGTAAGTATACATTACAATTTGAATGTAACAGAATAAGTATTCGAAACTATGATAGCTTGTTTTATTCTTGTCTAGTAATTATAATCAATTCATAATGACTGATATTATTATTATTATTACCAGAAGGGATTTTTGTAGATATTATGGTGATTTATAATAGTTAAGATCATGAATTAATTGAAGCTAGACCACCATACAAAACTTGGAAGCATTGGACGGCCGTTTTGCCCTATTGTGGGACGCCACAGTAACGCGCACCTACGATCCCGCTCCATGAGACTCGAACCCAGGACCTATCGGTCTCGTGTGCGGACGCTTAACCTCTAACGGTGTTAATGTCTAATCTCAACCAATCTACGAAATTCAGCGACACATCCACCATTGTCATCAGTGAGTTACTATCTCACAACATAACCGGTTGAACTCCACTGGTCACTGCTTCTGATTAGAACTCCGGGAAATACTTCTTGAAGCCGGTCACTAGTGAGCATATGTTGATTAATATCAGAAGGTCCTAGGTTCGAGTCTCGCGACGGGGGATAGTGGATTCCCACTGCTGAGGAGTCCCACAATATTACGAAACGGCTGTCCAGTGCTTCCAGGTTTTCCATGGTGCTCTAACTTCAATTGACTCATGATCTCAACTGTTAAAATTGATATTATCACGTTTAAATTGTATGTAGACTACAAAAGAAAAGAAAATAGATTGAATTCATCTCGTTCTGATACGTTTGTTCTTCTTCTTGTTTTTTTTTACCAAGGATCAAACTTACTGCTTTTTTTAAGTAACGTCGTGCCACAGTGTAACCTTGGCAACTCTACTCAATTATCGATCAATCAAAACGGAACTGATATGAATGGATAATTTAACACGGATAAGAAAAATCTTATTAGGATGTATACAAAATGTTTTATATGAATTATAAACTTATGATGGTTCGAAATAGGATTTGAGATCAAGGTCATGTTTATAAATTACGATAAAGGAATTCTTTATTACATACATTGGTATA